AGGCAGGGCAAAGCCAGCCTCCTGGGTATGGGCGCCGGGGGGTGAGGATGGGCTCCAGCTGGTACTGACGAGCTATCCCTGACTACCAGGGGAGACCACACATTTGCAGACAGCTACATCACCGTGCTCCCCAAGGGTACAGAGTTTGTGGTCTTCAGTATTGATGGCTCCTTTGCTGCCAGTGTGTCCATTATGGGCAGTGACCCCAAGGTGCGCGCCGGAGCTGTGGATGTGGTGCGGTGAGTGACCCTTGGGGTCTGGTGTGACTATTGGAAGGTGGGTGGGCTGCAGGCCGAATGGAAGAGGAAACTGCATACCGCACAGCCTTGGGGACCCAAGCCAGTGCCACCAGACAGGTGTGCCCTCAAGCAAGCTGTTGGCACACTTGATGCCAGTCCAGTCCCAAGGATGCCTCCTTTGAGGGGACCTAGGACACCTGCCTCCCAAGCTCAGTCTAGAGAGGCTTTGACATGGCCATTCACACTCACACCACTGTTCAAGCCCTGGCCAAGATGTATTTTCCTCTTTTCTCTGTGTGGTGCTAGGCAGTGAACGCAGGGCCTCACCCATACAGGGCAAGTGTAAGCACTCTACTATGAGCTACACTACAATCCTCTTTTCACTTTTTGAGACAGGCTGCCACTAAATTGCCCAGGCTGCCTTGAATTTGCCATCCTCCTGCCTCAGCCTTATGAGTATCTGGGATTACCATCAGGGCAGTGGGCACCACAAGGCCCAACTGAAGATTTACTTTTCAATGGCTCAAACGAGCTCTAGATGGGCAGGAGAGAGGGTGGCTTAACAGGGAGGACAGCAGCCCTGGGACACTGTGCCTGCCCCTTGCCTCTGCAGACACTGGCAGGACCTGGGCTACCTCATCATCTATGTGACTGGCCGGCCCGACATGCAGAAGCAGCGTGTGGTAGCATGGCTGGCTCAGCACAACTTCCCTCACGGCGTGGTGGCCTTCTGTGATGGCCTGGTACACGACCCGCTGCGGCACAAGGCTAACTTCCTGAAGCTGCTCATCTCTGAGGTGGGGCCTGGGAGGACTGGGTAAAGGAGGGGAGGGCTAGAAGGCAGGCCCAGCCTACGCCCATGGTTGTCTCATCCACAGTTGCACCTACGCGCACATGCAGCCTACGGTTCCACAAAGGATGTGGTGGTCTATAACTCCATCAGCCTGTCTCCCATGCACATCTACATTGTGGGCCGGCCCACAAAGAAGCTGCAGCAGCAGTGCCAGGTGAGTGGGGCACACTGAAGGGCACACATGGGCAGCATGGGGAGCCCCAGGCTGCTTAGCAACCCACCTACCCACTCCTCTACAGTTCATCACAGACGGCTATGCAGCCCACCTGGCCCAGCTCAAGTACAATCATCGGGCACGTCCAGCCCGAAACACAGCCACACGCATGGCCTTGCGCAAGGGCAGCTTCGGTCTACCTGGCCAGGGTGACTTCCTGCGCTCCCGGAACCACCTGCTCCGCACCATCTCAGCCCAGCCTAGTGGGCCCAGCCATCGGCACGATCGGACACAGACCCAGATGGACAGTGAGCAGCGGGGCCAGCGCAGCATGAGTGTGGCGGCCAGCTGCTGGGGCCGTGCCATGACAGGCCGGCTGGAA